TAATGGGGATGCTACACCATGTCGAAAAACATTGCCAGACTCGTGAAGGTATCGACACTTAGATTTGCACGTGGAGGGATGGGTGTGTTCGCGTGTTATTTTCTACACGGAAAGCATGTTCTGTTATAGTTTTTTTCACACATGTCAGGGTGGTCAGCATCACGAGTAAGAGATTTTGTACATGATGTACAAGTACATACTCGTGTCAAAAGTAGCGAGACCTAGATTTGCGCGGGGGGGGGGGAGCGTCGTCGTGTGATCGTGGAATTTTGTCCACGGAAAGGCATGTGCTGCTACCAGCCGTGTCATAATTAGATGATACAGTATGATGATATAGATGATACAGATGATAGAGTATGATGATATAGATGATATCAGGAGCTAATAATGACAAATTTGTCATTATTAGCTCCTGATGATATATGATGGATAATATAGTCTATATTATATCACTCCTGCTGTTATAGCTGTACCGGTGCCCCCTGCGCTCCTTCTACAGGTGATGGGGAGCGGAGGGGCTACACCGATAGAGCTAGTGATGTTAGAGTTTTCTCAGTATGTCTGTAGACGTGTCAGGGTGGTCAGCATCACGAGTAGGAGATTTTGTACGCGATGCACTCGTAAATAGTGCATATTATTAGTAAACGTAACTTTAGAAGTACTCAATAGAAAGGTTGTGTTTGTTACGTACGGACAGGTGGATAACAGACAGATCATATGTAGATCTCTGACTTTTATGTATTTCTGGTGATATGTAGTCGCTGATGCTATATAAAGCCTCGATAAAACCATAGCAACTGTTGAAAAACTCAGGATTTCAATGCTTACGTCTAGGCGAAGCGTACAATAATGGTTTTAGTCAGGTTGCTCTGCATCAGTTGCTCGTTTATATCTGCTCTAGTTTGAGTTCCATCGTTAATTGTCACATTACCCACCTGCGGAAGAGTTTTAAACAAAATCAGTCGGCGAAAATACACACCACAGTTCAAATTGTTGAGCTTTTCAGTTACCGCATTTTAATTGCCGCGCGTCCAAATGTCAAATCGCAGTTTATTTAAAATCCCGTGTTTTAAAAACTGGTTTTTGCACCGCGGTGTGGATGCATACGCCCGGTTATTTTTTTTCTCCGTGCAGACGCAACTTTGCAGAGTCTCTAAACAATTATTGTATCGAGCCATAAATAAGTTGTGAGGAAACGTATAACTGACGCCTATCCTCACGCAGTGTATCTCACATTACGTCAAGTTATATAGTCTATCTATGGGATAGAATATGCTATAATATATGCTATAGAATATGCTATAAAATATGCTATAGAATATGCTATAAATTATGCTATAAAATATGCTATAGTATATGCTATAAAATATGCTATAGAATATGCTATAAAATATGCTATAGAATATG